CCATTAGGTGGAGCCGCAGGGGTGTCAGAGTCATCCCACCTCCAGGAGTCCTCTGTTCACTACAACATTCCCGAGCTTCAGGGCCCTCCTGGCCGACCACCACAGCCACATTCACAGTCCCACTCAACTCCACAGTCATTTCCACATCCACTTTTGCACTCTCACCCTCAGCCCAACGGGCAGCACCTCTCGATGCCTCAGCACAGGGAGGCATCGGGGATGAGGGAGGACATGTCTGGTCCAGAGGACTCTGAAGAGGAAGACGAGGAGGAGGAAGAAGAGGCTTCAGTTTTCAAGTGGCAGGGGATTGAATCTATATTTGAAGCTTATCAGGAATATGTGGAAGGTAAGTAGCTGAGGTGCCTGTGTATTACATGGACTGATATTAGATCACTTTACATACATAAACAGCTTTAACAGTCCCTCTGTTATTATCACTGTATAATTTTATGAGGGATTAGAGGTTTTCTTTATTCTTTGGAATATATACTGAGATTACTGATTGTGCACAAATACATATTATTTTGCATATGTCATTGATTTATCCCCTAAATCAGAATTACTTGTTTTAGATCCAACTATACATTTTTTCCATCATTGAGCATGATCTACAAATATGCAAATTGACCCCGCCTTCACCTTTTAGCTCTTTGCCTGCAGCGAGGCCCTACTTTCCTATTCCTATTTAGGTCATGAAAAAAAGTCACAAAAAGCTTAAAAACACCCACAATACATTGGGTAATCAATCGCATATATCAAAAATAAAACACTGAAAGTAAGGTAACTAACTGTAGTCAACATCTGTAGTTTCTATAAATAAATTATGTCATATAAATACATTTCTGGATGGAAAAACTACAGTAGAAATAAAGAATATTAAAGGCAACCACACATTTCTGGTTTATTACCACTGCACATGCCTGGGAAAAGTAAATAAAACAGGTAATAATAATGAAATAATGATTTATGAAGTTTGAAAGAGTTGTCACATTATTTCTGTAATGTTCTGTGTTTTCGTGTCACTTCCTTATGAGTATAATGTATATCCTATTTTAAGTTGTTGTAGCATTCTGTCACCACTAGAGGGTAGTAGTCATTGTTCATTTTACACAATTCAATTTGTATTTAGTATTTGTACAAGAAAATTAGTGAAAAATGGTTGAGTTGATCTCTAATTACTCCCAGTCTCACATTCACAGCCTGCCACTAGTGTATTTTAAGACCTTTAACAATGAAGGCAGGAGCCTGAAGACATTTGCAGCAGATTATCCTGCATCTATTTAGATGGTCCAAATTCTGCTAATCCTGTTTTTCTTCATTTTCTCTTATTCCCTTTTCTGATCCAGAGCAAACTTTGGAGCGACAAGTACTGCAGAGCCAGTGTCGAAGACTAGAAGCTCAGAACTACAACCTTAGTCTAACTGCTGAGCAGCTGTCTCATACCATGGGGGTAAGACAAGCATACGGAGCCACTTAAGCTGAGGCCAGGAAGTCAAAATATTTACTACATAACTGCAAGTGACTTAGCAGCGGCGCTCTGCTAAGAAATTATGAGCATGTATAATAGGAGTGGGTGCACAACTTTACTTATTTTCGTAGATCAGTGGTTTCATAAATAGCAGAGCAAAGTAAAAACTTATACTTTACACTATTGGCCTCTTCTGATTAATCACTGGAATCCAGACAGCTTTTCTTTATTACACTCATATCATTGCTTTTCTGTTTTTCACTTATCTTTGTAAATATTGTTATATATAGCACAGGTTTGCCTTCTCATGAAGATCACTGTGAATTAAAATATATATATATTCTTATATATTTTTAATGTCCTTGGTTACCTAGGAGCTGATGTCCCAAAGACAGAAGCTGGCAGTGGAAAGAGAGAAGCTACAAGCAGAAATGGAACACTTCAGGAAGTGTTTGACGCTGCCACAGACACACTGGCCAAGAGCCGGCCATTATAAAGGTTACCCTCCGAGGTGACCATGACGCTGATTTTGATAGCCCTTGGGCCCCAGCCTCCTCCCCTTTCAGACTGACTCCCAGAGTTTATTTTTAATGGCCTGGTCCTCATAGCTCCATGGAGGATAATACGGCTGGCTAGATACGATGAATGAATGAATGGAGTGAATGGATGGATAGATAGATAGGTGAATGCAGAGGAGACCGGACCATTCAGTGAAGTACAGGCAGTCTTTGGATTATGGGTCAACAGGGACTGCACCAAAAGCCACTAATGTGTGCCAATGTAGCCAACTCCAAGATCAGTGAGTGTATGGGGCAGAAAAACCTGAAGATCAACATGACACCTGCTTTTCATTCTTCAGTCCCTGCTGCGCTATTGTTCAGTCCCTGCATCCCTCACCGCCACAGCTACACAGACAATCCTGCCAATGAGGGAGCAGCTACCCCCAGAGGGGGGTGTCGTTACAAGACTTGAAAGCTCCAAATCTCCAAATGAAGACCTTTGGTCATTTGGGACTGATTTCTTTTCTTTTTTCCTTTTATTTTGTGGCCACATGAGCTTTTGAACTGGAAATGCACTTAATAAAAGCTGAAGAACTACCTGGTGGTACTGTGTTACAACAAAGAACTGTTCAAATTAGGGAAGAACTTAGAAAATGCACATTTTTGGAAAGAATTAAGTAAATGTTTTATTTCGAAATAGAAAATTTCAAAATAAGAATTTTAAAAGGTGCTTAAGCCTTGTATTGTATATAATATGAAGACTTAAAAAGAATTTTGTATGTTTTTATTACTTTAATCATTGTTCTTTTAAAAGAAAAAGCCTGCCATTTTATATGTTTATGCTTTTTGGGTTGAAAAAAAAGAAAGCCTTGCTTTTAGTGTTTGTACTGCTGCTGGCTAGAACAGCTTGTTTTGAGACATTTAGCAGAGTGAGAGGAAGCAGGATGCATTCCTCTTATTCTGTCCCGGCACTGCGCAGCTGAGACCCCAGCCACAGCCACCTTATCTGGCCTCTGAGCTCAGCAAAGCTTACTTAGAGGTCCTGAGATGTGGCTCATGCCCTCCACTCCCCCTTCATTCACAGCAGTGTGTCTCTGTTTTAATGCCCATTTCATCAGCTCCTCCCAGTCAGCTTTACTGTTGCTGGCATGACCAGTTAAGTACTCATGCAGAAACCAGATCCACAGCCACTTTTTTTTTTTTTTTTAACTTGATTTTCTTGATTATTGTAAGACATTTTCTTACACAGCCAGCAGATAAATCTTGCTTTATCCTGTTTTTGGACCTTCACTTTACTTTGTATGACGCATAGCATTGAACTCAAACACACGATATGACGGTTTGCGGTATGCCTTACAAGATCAAGCCCCTGTCAGCAGCCATGAGACGAAATGGTGCCAAAATAATGATAAAACTATAGCATAGTAAATTATTAGTTGCAGTTGGGTAGCCAAACATACAAACCAGAATGGCCATCTTATACTGCTGAATATGTTTGACATAACATCATCTACTCTTTGCATTTCTCTATTTTTAGGACGCTCTCCACCCACACAAAGTTGCCAAGATGTCCTAGAAACCAGGCAGGACGCTTAACTGAGCAGCTCCTGGTACATTTAAAATCAGAAAGGTTTGCTTTACCTTGGATATCTGTTTACAACCTCCATCTGCCCCCCATCTTCCTAATGAGATTTGGCTCGTATTACAGTGACTTTCTACCCTGTAATTCATCTTGTCTCCACCTTATGGTTCTATGTGCACTTGGAGACCTCAGACACAGTGAAATGAGGTGTCTAGGTCATCGTTTGACTTGTGTGGTGGTGGGATGTTTGATGTGAGTGGGTTAAGGATTTCAGTATTTGCAAATAAAAACTTTAAAAATGTACCAATATTTAATTTATTTTTTAAAAAAAGTACTGAAGCACAACTTACCCCCTTACATACACTTTTTTACAAGTGCCTCAAGAATTTGGGAGCATGTGAATGAGTTTCCGTCTACAGGACAGACATTACATGACATAACATCAGTGATCAGGGACTTTGCATATTACATCCAAGTGTCTACTGTATGTCATACCTTTCAAATATGTACAAGTCACCAACAGATACCAAGTTTCTTTCATCCAAATGAGTCACAAGACAATTTTTTTTTATATATAAATGACACGTAAGCCAGTTTAGAGGAATACAGAGTGTAGTCAGATTTTTTTTTTTTTTTACAAAGAAGAAAGCCAACAGCGTAATCTATCTGTAAGTGAAGGAGCATGCATGCTGAGGTAAGCTGCCATTGAGCTGGGGAGGAAGGTGCAGTGTGGTAAGCCTCTCTTGCTCAGCCTCCCCGTGTCTCCAACCCACGCACGCTCATGCAATAGCCCCATTACTCAGTGGAGGATGTCTAGATGCTGTGAAATCCTGTTTTTAAAATGTACTTGTTTGAATTCATTGTAATGTAATATATTCTTTGTTGAATGTAGTAATTAGGTATTTATGAATATATGGCTGTGATTTCAGACAAAAAAGAAAATAAAATATTTCAAAAATGTTAAATATCAACCTTTGTCTCTTTGTGGGTTCTGGTTTAACAGCTGGACATTTTGCTCTGGAGATTAGGAAACGGATTCATTTTCGGTGCAATCCTGAGAACAATATCAACCAATATTATCCATCTTTAGAATAAAATGCAACAAGAGTTGAGTGGAATTCCTTTTAATGTGGGTTTTTCCCCCACCTACGTACATTTTAGGAAGGAATTGTTTAGTTTACCAATGTTTGACAGAAACCACATTCATTCTAGTAAACCAGAAAACATCTTTTTTAATCACTAACACAACAAGATCAAAAATCACAATAAGACTGATTAAAAATTGTGAGGAAAAAAAGTATACATGTATATACTGTTTACATGCACATACATACATTTTGAAACCTAATGACAACATTAACAAATGATACACTAACTGCAAACAGCAGATTCACACAAATCAGACCGGAGAGCAACATGATAACTTAAATAGTTGAGTAAATCTCTTCACTTTTCCAGAAAACTGTCTTTAATGTTAGGTTTAACCCCAGTCTTGCTAAATCCAACCCTTTTTAGCAAGCCTTGTGTGTGTTCAAGCTTTTTTACCAGTAGTCCATGAACTGCCCTTCACTGCAAGTTGGACCGTAGCTTGTACATACAGTTGAGAGTATCAAGAAGAAACGCTCGTATGGTGTTGATCTCCATCAGAGTAAGGTTGTCTAGCTGTGGACAGAAAGAGGAATTAGGTATATTCAAAGATTTAAAATAACACTGTTACTCTGTGACACAGTAGGTAACTCAATGATAAACAGGTGAAAGTTCATTGTGACTTTCACTGTTGATATGCGGTATGGTATTGTCAGCAATTGCAACATAACCAATGAATCTTTTATTACTGGGTTTTTTTTTATGTTGATTTGCTGTAATACCATAGACTGTATAGAAAAGATGGGCACTTTCTCAACTGACATCACCCATTGATTTGTGAAGTCCCTATGAGAAGCCTCAAGCCAAATGTTTTCACCGTTGCCGTCTTAATAATGACGAAACCAGACATGAAAAGCTACTACAGACTACAAGTCTGCCTGCAGAGAGCGTCTGTCTTCAGATGTGGGCAGTCCTTTCTGTTGAATCAAAATAGCCATCATGCTGTTCCTATAAGGCTTAAAACTTGGGTTTGAGACCATAAACACGTCAGTAAAGTGTTTCATGAGGTCATAGGGAGCCAAAAGGTTTTTCTTCTATACTGTCAGCCCTCAACCACATGAATCACCCCCTGCAGGTCATCAGAAAGAATGCAAGTGTAAGACATTTCCACATTAGCTTTACTTTTAAGACAGTGTGAGGAAAACACCTAAAGTGGGAGTGTAGCTGTTAAGAAAACACATTATGGAACACTTAAATCAGATTCTACATTACCTATAGATAACATTTACTGAATGCTTATATACAGCCAATTAAATTGGGGGAACTTAAGGTGATGCCACTTTTTCTAAAGGATCTCAATATGCAATGGGTCCACAACTTGAAGGGATAATGAATAAATGTCACACTGTCCTTTTATGTGGAACTGGTAATTCTGTTATTATGCTGTTGAATTTGTACTTACTTTGCATCTGTTTTCAACTCAATTAAATGTTCAAAACTCAATGGTTAAGTGACAGCAGAGAATACTAAACACCCTACATGTGATCAGTTTTACCTTGGCATAAGCTTCCTGCTGACTGATGAAACTGTCAGCAGACAAGCGGAGCTTGGCAATGCGAGTATCCCAGATGTCTTTGACCAGTGTACGGATCTCATCTGCTTTAGGAATGTTGTCAGACGCGCTGCAGAAACACAGAAACCTCTTTTAAGGGGAGGGGGCACATACACCAAGCACACAACAGTACTGAGGGCTGTATTTCTGTGGATTACTTAATTGTATATGACTCACTGGTTTAGTAGCAGCTTGGTAAGCTCCATGTAGTAAGGACTAGGAACAGGTGTAAACATATCCTCTTTTCTCTCAAGGTCTCGCATCTCCTCCAGTTTCTCTGCACAGTGAAGGAAAATGTCAACAGCAGCAAACTGCAGCGACACACAAAAATGCTGAAAGATTTTCAAGATTCCTCTTTTCTGCTGACTTTTGTAGGAGAAGTAAAACAGAAATTCCAAATAAAACCACCAATGAATTTATTCTTTTCAGCATTTTCCATATGGAAAAGAAATATTAAAAACTTATATGTGATTACTCATGAAAGTGGCCACTTTAATGAGTAAATCATATAAGGCTTACATGATTTACTCATGAAAGTGGCCACTTTCTCATTACTTTCATACATTGTTTTAGTAAGTATCCAAAACATACAAGTTTCATTATATAATTTTTCAAGGGATCTTATATCTGTTTTCACTCTTATATGCTTTTCATACAAGTTTCACACAAGACAGATACAAACTTTATAAGATTTATATTTATCTTTTCCATATGGGTTCTTACAGCATACAGACCAACAACGACATACACATATTTTACACATTTTGCATTTGTAATGAACACAAAATCTGAATTATTTGCCTCTTACAACTAAAGAAACAATCTTACTGCATTTCTTGTGCCCATTTTTGTTTTACTTATCTAATGCAAATTTGGAAAAATAGTTTAGCACTACTTACATGTCAAAGTTATGGCAAGGCAGGTCTAGGCTTAACATGGCATGCCAGTAATGATTACATATGTCATAATGTGAAGGAAAAAATACTCAAAATACTGAAAGACCCTCATCTGAAACATTTTTAAGTAATCCTCTCAGTTCATGCCTGGAAACAAACGCCTGCAAAGACCGCATCAGGAAAAACTTTGAACTTTACCAACATCCATCCACTCAGGAGGAATAATTCTACACTTCTGTCTCTGTTTTAGGTTTAGAGCCAGCCACACGGGAACATCAATAGGTAGTCCAGGGTTGAAGGGACCCAGATCTCCCTGAGAACACAAATACACATATTTTATCGTGCAGCACAATGCATTCCCCACTTCAGTGAAGTTGGAAAGATACGCATTTGCACTTTCATGATTAATAAAAAACATTGCTAGAAGATAAACAATGTCTCTTTCTAACAGCAGCAACTACAAGTTACAGTCTGATTTACATCAAACGAGCCATCCTGAGAGCTTGATGAATAACACAGGCTCTCTTGTGCAGCCAGCTATGTAAAAAAATACCAAAAAATATTCCATGACTTTAGTAAGTAAAGAAAGTAAGTAAAAGTTTATTTATATAGCACCTTTCAAGATAAAATCACAAAGTGCTTCGCAGAAGTTGAAACATAAAAACAAAAATCAACCAAAAGCAAGTTTAAAAAGATGAGTTTTTAGCTGTTTTTTATTTATTTATTTATTTCAAAAACCACTGAGTCCGCAGATCTCAAGCTCAAAGGGAGCTTGAGACAGTACAGTGTACTGTCATTAAATTCACATCATGCTGCGGGGGGATCTTGTTAGCTGTTATTTATTTTTAAAATTTAAAAAGAAAAAAAAGGGGGTTTGGAAAATGGAAAACACCATGACAGTGTATGAGATTTTAGAGAATTATTGTTCAATAATTCTCTAAAATCTCATACACTGTCATGGTGGCTCCAAAAATCGCGCATTCATGTGTTGACTGTCAAGTCTGCTTTGTTTATATAACAGATTAGACCCAAAGTGTTTTACAGACAGGCACAGTTACATTGCAAGTTTCCCAAAAAAGAAAATAATCCAAATCAAACAAAATACATAAAGCTGAAAAGTGTGTTTTATTGCAGTGCTGAGCCTGTATTTACTTGATCAATAATAAAAACTGCAGTATAATATAGCAATAATAGTTCGGGGTACTTTTTGAAAGGCCAAAGATACGGTACCGAATATTATTGGAGCTTCAATTTTTTCGAAATATATTTAGACAGATTTTATTTTAGCTGGAGCGACTTATATTTATGTAAATGGTTCGTTAAAGTCTGGAGTTTGAGAGATGAGGCTTTTTTTGTGCGTGTTTTAATCAGTCACTGAGTGAAGTGATCCACTCAAACAGAAACATCTTTACATACATACCTCCAGCTTTAAACTGAGTGTGTCGTGATATAATACAAGGTTTTAGCCCAAGGTTTAGCTAATATTGCTACAGTAACTGTCAACGTCTCAGTATCTGGTCAAAAACCAGCTACTTAAATACAGACACAACTGACTTACCCCGATTAAAAAGACTTTATCTAGGCTGAAATTTGGTATTATCTTCACCATCTCTTTCTCCGCAAGGAACTCGACCTCCGAAGCATCCATATCTGTTTGGTTTTTGTGTGTGTTCAAAAACTTCCGTCCCACTCGAACTGCACTACAAACCGTTCCCGCGCTGAAGGCAGCATTAACCGACAATGAAGTCAAGAAAAAGACAACTACGTCATCAACAGGAAGCGCAGTATCGCAAAAGTGAACATTATTGTGTGCCGTATTACGGCACGTCACATTTTTATTTTTCTGTATAATTTCTCGAATCTCGGTGTTAATTGCATTTTTAAAATTGTTAATTTACGTGTGAGGTGCGGGCCTGGCCGTGACGAAGCTGACCATACCTTAAATTTTAATTTAGCATTGTCTGGCCCGGAAGAAGGAAGTGGGCCATGTGAGTGACAACAGTTGCAACTAAACTCCACCAGATGGCAGCATTCACCAGGCAATAACAAGAAAGGTGGCAGTGACCTTTTACATGTGAGAACAAAGTTAGATGTTTTTGTCAGTGACTGGGTCTGAACCCATTAGAATCGTGGGTGAGGAGGCTGAATCAGTGGACAGCTAACAACAGATACTTGGTGTTCAGTGACAGACTGTACTGAAGAACCTATAGCGATGCTGTGTACAAGAAGGGGATCAACTGATTACTTTCTGAGGAAGTCCAGATCCTTCAGTGTGTTCAGCAAGATGTTGAAGAACTTCTGCCGGTCTGTGCCAGCATCCAGGCCAGCGATGACGTTAAGATCATCAGTTCATCTGGAGGCATTTGGGTCAGTGAGAGACAGGAGGTCACTGAATATCATGGACAACCCGTCACACCTGCTCCTTTCTACACTACGGAGCTCATTCTCCCTCAGACTTATTCAACCTTGTTGCCATAAAGAACCATTCTTGCATTACCACTCTGCAGAATTCTGTTTTACATAACCTCAGTCTTATTATGTTTTCTATTTCATTCATTTTTTATCACAGTTTTACATGCAATTTTTCACTGCCTCATATTTTACGGCCTTTGGTGTTTTCCTGTAGTTATTTTTAAAAAATGTTTCTGTTGTCTGTTATACTGTTTTTATTTTTATTCCTTCTGATGCTGAAGTAATTTGCCTTTCGGGATCAATAACCCCATCCAAAGGATTCTTCCCGGTTGTACAAACGCTCTCACAACATTCACACCACACATCTCAAATAAATTTGCCAAGATAAAACGAACAAAGAAAATTGACAGAAGACACCACAATCTATTATTTAAAACAGCAATGAAACTTCTTCATAAATCCAAACCATTTATTTTAATAGCATCTGCTCTCAAATCCACTTCAAATATTTCCTGTCAGTGGACTGTGCTTGAGGTATTTCTGCAGAAATGCACCTATGCTGTAGTTAGACAGAATTAGTTTCAGTTCATTTATCGTGCACTGATAGAAGAAGTACTTATCTTTACTGAAACTAGAATACTACATTCACAATTTAAACCACTTTCACATCTCTAACATCTCTGTTTTAATTCCATTTTTTATTTTGTTTATTACTATTGTTTATTTATTTTTGCTGATATGGCAGCGTGCAAGTAGCATGTAAGGTGTAACTAGTCAATGTAGGGACCATTTTATTAGCTTTTTATACATTTAAAAATAATGTAAGTTGCTGTCAGATTTCTGTTGTCTCACTTAATGTGCTGGAGTAGAAAGCAGCATAAAATGAATATGGATATTAGGAAAATATACAGTGTCATTTGTTTAAAAACTTCCATGAGTTCTTCCCAGATATGGCCACACTGTCATTTAGTTTTCATTTTACAAGAATTACATTATGCAGAGTATGGGAGACTGAAGCTATAGATTAGAATGGTCACAAAGCATGAAATAATCTGTAGACACGTGCGAATATGAACTTTGCACCACTAAATTATTAGAAAACCGCAGCTACTACAACCATTCATGACCTCTAGCACTCTGAGGTTAGCCGACAGTGTTTATTGGCTGTACCTTGGTCCAGGTTAAAGACAAAAGGTGATTGTGGCTCCCAAGTTATGGAAATCGCTTCCACTGGATCTAAAGTCTGTGGACTGATTGATATCTTTAAAAATAAACTTAAGACCCATATATGCAGGATTGCTTTTATTTTGTTTTTTAATATACCATTTTATTTGCATCTTATTCGGTGCTGTAAAGCACTCTGTGTATTTTGTTCTTGAACAAAACTATTAAAAAAACCTTAATTCAACAGGCTGCTGCTAAACCATACAAAAAAACCCCAAAGCTGGGCAGTGATTATTCTAAAAGTGATTTTAGACTTTTTTTTAAATTGTCATGGCAGAGATGCAGTCATGTGAAAAAGAAAGCTTTCACATGACTCTGCTTGTAGAGACTCTCCTAAAGAGCAATTACTTGAAGTGCTTGCTTTGCGTATGAGTTTATCAGTCGCACAGCGTGGAGGAACTTTGATCCATTGTTTTTTGTAACGCCGCTTCAGTTCATTGAGGTTTGTGGATATTTGTTTATGCACAGTTCTCTTAAGGTCCAGCCACAGCATTTCAATGAGGTTGAGGTCTGGACTTTAACTGGACCACTGCAACATCTTGATTCTTTTCTTTTTCAGATGTTTTCTTGTAGATTTGCTGTTGTGCTGTGGATTCTTGTCCTGTTCCTTGACCCAGTTTTGATCAAGCTCTCAGACAGATGGCCTCAGATACAGAGGGTTTCATGGTCAGTTCAGTAACTGCCAAGGTGCCCAGGTCATGTGGCTGCAAAACAAGCCTAAATCATCACCCCTCTTCCATTACGCAACTGTTGGTATGAGGTGTTTGTGCTTATATGCTGTTTGTGTTTTCAGTTTGTTTTCTGTGTTTGTGTCCAGTGGACTTTGTTCCAGAAGACTTGTAGTCTGTTCAAATGCAACTCTGTAAGCCTATAGAAGCAGTAAGGCTTCACTTTACCTTAGCATGGCTGAACAGTCCTTTTGCAAATAACTGTATAAGACACAGCTAAATAGGTTTAACACATAAGAGGCAATAAGAGATCTGTAGAAACATGTAGATGTTTTCAAAAATCAGTTTCATTGAACATTCAGCTCAAAACAATTGCAGTAGAAAATGTTTCATCCACACAATTAACTGATTAATTCTAATCTCAATTACAAAAGGTGCTTCTGTAGTCTCACAATAAATATTAACTTTTTAATATTTGGTTTTAGAATAATCAGTTAAGTGTTAACATAGAATTTATCTAGTTCTTAGAATGGATATCCACACAAAACAAAATTCACACATTCCTGTGATCTGATTCAGTATAGAGCGGGTCTTCCAGATCATAAATCAAGAGCCAAAATGCACATGTGCATCATCCAGACTGACATTCTCCGTCGCATTAGTGGCAGTACCGAGAAGCATGCACGCTAGAAATGCATCTATGGAAAGATTAAAGTTGGGGCTTTTGAATGGGCCAAATCTCTGGTTCAGCGTCATCTAAAACTTTCAGACTTCACTTATATATGTGAATTTTCCTTCAGATCTTTTATAAACAAGAAACTTAATAAAGAACACATTTATCCTATCAGTTGTAAAATCATTACCTAAAAATTAATAATTTAGAACTTATTTAGAACTTGATCTCTGTATGGCTAAAAGCAAATGTATAGGTTTAAACCTCTAGAATCTAAACTTTTACACAAAACAGGATATCAAAACCCATTGCAGGGGAAAAAAACCCAAAGTTGCATAAAAAAAACAACAACATAAAAGCTTTCATCACTGCAGCATCAACCTGTAAAAGGTGGACACGGGCCAACAGCGGGCCAAGGGTGCTTGCCCTTAAAACATTTGGCCTAACTGGCCAGCGCCCCACAAGTTCCCTTCAGAGAGAGAGACTTTTTATGGAACGCAGACTATAGGTTCAGCTTTTTCATTCTCCTGTGCTACACAAGTAGCAGTGTGCATGCTGAATTGGCAGCAATATAGTTGTTCACATGTGTGTGTGTGCGTGCATGTGTGTGTCATGGGTACTCCCGACTGAAGGTCTTAGCACAGATCCAGGACGGACTTGTTAATAACAGGGTTGGTCCAGTCGTTCCTCAGATCATCCAAGTGACTGTCAAAATCAATCAAGTTCTCATAGGAACGACCCACCAGCAGGGCAGATGTGATTTTCTGTGCTTCGCTCCAGTCCTCAAAGGAGTCACTGGAAAACAGTTTTTTGAAAAATTACATATTCAAGCTTTAATACTGAAAATACAGGGTAATTACAATGTAATTACAGTGTAATGTACTTTGTCTAAATAATTCAAGTAAATGAGAGAACACTTGGAGTTGTAAGTATGCTGGAAGCTCTGAGTTAGCTGCACAAATAGTCTGCAGAGGAAGATAAAATCTCACACTAAAATAGCTCTTAACACTTACGCCGTTACTTCTCTGCTTTTCCACTTGTTTTCGTGGTGATCATAGATCAAGACGATGGGTTCGGAACAGCTCATTGTTAACTTACTGCTGTCCACCTGCAGGAAAACACGCAAAATTTACTGTGAATTTAGGTGCAACTTTTAGGTGATAACAACAACAACTGCAACAGACCAGACCAGGGTCTAAGAAAAATGTCTTTCAGAAACAGTGTTATATATTTTATAATGCATCTAATTATTTCGCCCAGACACATCTGAGACTGAGAGCTGCATGTCAGACTGACTGATTCAGTAAAAAGGCAGCTACTTCAATGACCTCCAACAAAACAATGCTTTGCAAAATATGGAAGAAAACTGTTCCTGCTAAAGGTGACTCAACAGAGTCTTGCTGGAGCACTTGCCAGTTGGACTACATATGACAGGTAGAGCAAACAGTGGCTAGAAATGACTGATGTGGTTACATGGTGGAAAAGCAGCTGGCTAAAAAATCTCGACTCAACATGCAGCACCCTGGGTAGAAAGTATTTTGTTTTATTTAAATTTTAGTATGTTTCAAAGTACTAATTCAAAATCTTTGTACAACCAAATGTGTGACAAAATTCCACAGAAACAATTCTAACTCATCGCACGCTCTCCCACTTACAGCTAATACGTTTAAACTATAAAATTACAACCCAGCTCTTGCTGAAGGTCAACAGGACTGAAACATTGTCATTTATTAAACGCGAGGATACTATGCTTGCATTTGCTGTGTCACTGCTATTGCCTTACAATGCCGCTGTGGCTGCTGGCACCTTGTGGCGATAGATTCGCACTTCAAATTGGGCAGTGTGTCATCAGTGATAGCAACTCATTGGAAAAGAAGGATGAAAGATGTGCTTCACTTTATTTGCATGGA